TTTAGCTGCATTTCTGATTATTTAATGCAAAAATTCCCTGAAGCTTAGTTTTAAAACACAAAACTAAAACTTTATCTTTGCCAGGCATATTGGCACACACCTGTAATCCCAGTGGCTCCATGGGGCTGAGGCAGGAGTATTGCAAATTCAAAGCCAATCTCCACAATTTAGTGAGGACCTGACTCAAAATAAAAGGTAAAAAAAAAGGCTTTGGGTGTGAATCAGTGGCTAAGCACCCCTGGCTTCAATCCCTTCAAACCAAATCAAACCAAACCAAACAACACCACTTAAAATTTTTGTCTTTATTACTAAAGATAAGTTGTCTTTTGAACTTCTTTCTCCATTTTTCCAGGATTGTGTGGGCTTTATTCCTTTGCTTGTTTCTCTGTGTAACAAATAAATTAACATTTTTTTCCCATGTTCATTGCCAATATTTCTCTAAATTTATCTTTCAATTTGATTTAAGAAATTATTGGCATAAGAAGACATATGTTTGCATGCATGCTGAAAAACTTACTATTTATCTTTCTTTACAATTATTTGCAATGTCTTTTTTGTTCAGAAAAATTTACACCCATACTTAAATCATTTACATAATACTTAAATAGTGTCTTAGTCACCTTTTTCATTACTGTAACCAAAAGATTTGGCAAAAGCAATTTTAAAGGGGAAAAGTATATTTTGCACTCAGAGTTTCAGAGGTCTCAGTCCACACATGGCCAGCTCTATCCTCTGAGGCCTGAGGTGAGGCAGGACATCAACATGGAGGAAAGCAGCTCAGAATATGGCCACCAAGAATCAGAGAGAGAAGGAGATTAAGCTCAGTTCACAAAATATATACCTTAAAGGCAGGGCTCCAGTGATCCATTACCTCTAGCTACAACATAACCTGCCTACAGTTACCAACCAGTTAATCCCTATCAGGGGATTAATGCACTGACCAGATTAAGGCTCTCATAAACTAATCATTTTACATCTAAACTTTGTTGAATTGTCCCACACATGAGCTTTTGGGGACACCTCATATCTAAACCATAACAAATTCACTTTAAAATATCCTTTCAGCATACAAAATACCAATTGGTAAGTACAATTTGCTAATTAGTGGGTAGTAAATTTTGAATTATGGAGTAGACAAAACTTGCATTTTTCATTCTTAGCTATTTTCCCTCATATCATTTGTTGCTTAACTTTTATTTTCCCCATTTAGTTTGATTTCTTTATCATGTAACTATTTAAATATAATACAAAATTCTCTTCCATTGATTCTGGGAGTTTTTTTAAATCTATTTACCAGTTTTTCTCTAGTAGTATACTACATTAATTTTTATAGCTGTGTCCTAGCTAATAACTAGTGAATTATCTTCACCACTTTTCTTTTTTGAGTACTTTCATATCAATTCTGGAATCTTTATATTTATAAGTAAGTTTTAGAATAGTAGTTTGGAAGTTTTATAAAAATTCACCTACTGTTTTTATTGAAATTTCTCTAGTTTTCTATGTTGATTGATAAAAATTTGATTAATCTCAAATGTTTACATCTTTCTTGAAACATAATGTGTGTCTTAAATCACTTATAAATTCTGTAATATCTATAGGTATATTTATCTCTTTTAACCTATACATACATACATATATATGTAAACACACATATATATATACGCACACACATATACATCTACCTGCTTTTTGTTTTGCTGATTTCCAATATATTTTCATTTTCTATTGGTCAGCATATTTTATATGTCAGTATATCATATATGTCAATATATATGTCAGTATACACACACACA